AGGGCAGGGCTCGCACCCCGCGTGGCGCCGGCCGGAGCCGCCTCGCTCAGTCCGGCTTGTGGGGGAGGGGGCACATGGAGCTGGAGACGCAGCCCGCACCCCGTCGCGGCATCATGCCCATGGGAGTGAAGCGCAGGCCCCTCTGGTTGAAGGACCCGCACAGCCCCCGGACCTGGGCGGGGGGAAGAGCCCGACCCCTCTCCCTGCAGCCCCGGGGGGCCGCGGGCTGAGGCCGGGGGAACAGCACTGGGAGCGGCTCTGCCAGCCCCCGGCCCCAGGCTGCTCCCCGCTGGCACCGCTGCTGCTGCTGCTGCCGAGACACAGCGAGGCCTTTCTATTTTCTTTCAGCTCCCGAGGAAGACGTGCTGGTTAGGGGCAAGCAGTCCATCAAGAGCCAGGCCCTGGGAAACCAGAACTCGGAGAGTGAGATTCTCCTGGAAGGCGATGACGATACCCTGTCATCCATCGAGGAAAAAGACTTGGAGAACTTAACGGGTAACTCGAGCTACTTTCTTCCCCCCTCAGTCTCCCTTACTGCTTTTCGCTGGGATCGGTCCCCTTGCACGGGACAGGCGTGAATGCCCTGCCAAGCTGGAGGTGTGGGCACCAACTGCAGCACACTGAGGAATCTCCTGGCCCCTGGCTTTTATACCCCTCTTGTTTTTATCCTACTGTTTTGTGGGTGTGTTTTTTTTCTGCATGCCCTTTCTTAGGAAAAGTGGCTTCTCATTGAAGGGATTTCCCTTCTCCACTTTTGTCTAGTCCAGCTGTTCAAAGGCTGGGACTGGCAGGCGGCTGAGAAAGTTATTTAGAATGAAGGCCTTTCTCAAACTTTATTTTTGTGCATTTCAAATGTATGTCCCAATCGTCTTTTTTTTTTTTTTCCTTTTCATAGAGGAGTCTGCTCACTACATTAAAAGTTGGCTTCACTCTTGCCCTCCCTTCCTGCAGTCTATCCCTGTATCTGGCTTCCTTTCTTTACCGTGAAAAAAAAGTTCAGTTTCATCAAATGGATTTTTTTTTCAGTGTACTGGATATAAGCCTCTGTTAGATTTTTTTGTAATCAAAATGGATTAACTTCACTACTTAAATGTTCACAATTCAGACAGTGGCTTTGGATTCAGAGTTTGTAACTTCTAGTTTAACTCCATTATTATGAGAACAACACAAGCTACATGAAAGCAAGACTCCTTTACACTATTCCACTCAGCCATCTGGGTTCTGAGTGCACTCAAAATACATGTTGGTTTATAGGACAGAAGAATGTTTTTCCTGGTCAATTCTGGCTCCCTGAGAAGCAAGAAATATAATCTTCCCTGGTGATCACTATGTGAAGTTATTGGACATCTTAATGCCAATTCATTTACCCACTGCCTGAACTGTATGCCACTTCAAAGAAAAAAAAAGTTAAAAATACTAATTCAAGGCCATATACTGATCAGTGAAATAAAATGAAGGTAATGGGAGCATAATACAATGGTTTCTTATAGTTAATCTGTTCCCCTCCATCTCTAGCCTGCTCTCCAACAGCCTTCTGCCCCGTCCCTTCTCTTTTATTATGCATTCATTGCTCCTAGTAATACATTCATACTGTAATAGAGGTGAAAGGGGAGTTTAATTATATAATCTTGACAATGGCAATAGGATTAAGAAGTAATCCTCACTAATAAAGTGGTGTGGGTAAGAAATGAAGTGGAAATTGTCAGGGGTCTTCTACAGGACCTAGGATGCCCCAGCTTCTGCAGCTGTCTGCTCACCCTGTAATTGAATGTCTGAGAGTGATTGAAAAAATGTTATTTCTCCTCTGGATTACATGCTAATGTACAGAGGGCAAAGGGAGACAGCAAAAGAACACAGAGCTGCTTATTTCATCTATTTGTGGGGATGAGCTTTGGGAAATCATGGCAGTTCTGTAGCTATCTGATGCCCATCTGCAAACACAATGTATTTGTACATTGGGAATAGAAGGTAAAGCTGCTCTGATCTCAGCAGAGCATCTCTTCTATTGTCCTAGTGGCACACATTAAGATTGATGCGAGATTAAAGACCATCACCCTCCTAACAATCGATGGAAATGACAATTCATCTGAATTTTTTGGCAGTTATTCACCCATTGATTACCTGAATGTGTGTACCTCATTTATAGACACTTTATTAATTCAGACCTGGGCATGTCACGCTCATATTTTCCAATTGTTTTACAAGTTATACAAGATACAGATAATATTGCCACGAAGTAGCTTAATTCCCTTCTCTCCCTTAAACGGTTGGATGACAAACCTAAGGTGTTTTTCCCCCTGTACATGTTGTTTTATTTAATAGGTTCTGTATTGTTAGAACTGTGCTGAGCCTATTGTTTTCAGTAGTAGCCTGATTTGTCTCTGTGATAAGCCCTGTGGAGATGTGATTATTCCAATAAAAATTCATTCAGTTGGAAACCAACCCTCCAGCTGTTTACTCCCACAGTCCCCAAGCTACACTAACACTATATAGAATCCTTGAGCAATATTTAACAGTGGCCTAAAAAGCATTTTAAAAACATTTTGCTTTACAGTTCCTAGTACTGAGTGTTTAATCTTAACAATAGATTTCTACCAGGAATATGAGAGAGAACGCATTTAGCTGGGGTAAGTTAGATAACTTTCACCATAGGCTTGTGTTCATCTTTCAAGAATTTGATGGAAACCTCCAGGTTTTTAATACACACATTTGAAATGAAGAGTTGAAGTCCTCTTTTATGCATTTTCTCTGTTCTTTTAGTAACAAAAGGAAGAGGCTTATCAAAGTGTTGCAAAACTGGAATGTGGCAGAATAAAACTAGGTTCTGTTACAATAAAACCACCTCCTTGGCATATGTAATGTATGCACCAGTCTGCAGCTGTAGCTGCTTCAGTGTTTGACAGTGCAGAGCAACTGCAAATCTATTACACATGCATTTTCCTGGTTTTTAAGTTTGCTTTTTAAAGCTAAAATCTCCAGGATTTTTTTTACTTGTATTTTGCATTCAGAAAATAACCTACACAAGGTCTGCCTAACGCAGCCTGTGCTTAATCTGTGCTAGGCCCTTCAGGTGTTTTGAACCATGGTGGTGTTTTTGTGCTTTGGCAGGTCCAGTTAGCCTGTGTACACCAGCTCAGCTTGTGGCACCCTCTGTAGTAGCGAAGGGCACTCTTTCCATCACCTCTTCTGAACTCTACTTTGAAGTAGATGAAGAAGATCCTAGTTTTAAGAAAATCGACCCCAAGGTAAGAGATTGTTGACCCCTCACTCTGAGAACTGATGACAAATTACACTAGACCTTTAATTCTTCGTTGGCTTCCTCTACCTCTATCTGTTATAAGTATTCCTGCTTGGTAAGTTTGTGACTGACCATGTACGTTAGTGAAGTTCATGTAAGTGAGAGGAGAAAAAGGTAGGTGGGGGTGGTGGAGTGTGTGTGTGGTGGAGGGGGTGACAGTTCAACCTTGCTTGAATGTTAATTAGCTTGCTGGGCATAAAGCTCCAGGGAGGCATCTTAAATAAAGACATCTCAGACCACAAGACCAGTGTGAATACTAGAAAATTCAACAGCCCTGGTAGCTCAACCCCTTTCTTATTTTTTTATGCAAAGCCAATATAACATAGCAGCCTAGATTCTACCTTCTCGATTTAACACAGTTTCTGTTTTCCATTATTCTATACCAGATTTTACAGTGCACGCTATTATTTGTTTTACGGAAGCTCCCTTTAAAATGCATTTCTCAATAGACTTGTTATTTTCTGCAAAGTTTATTTGCACTGAGGTAAAGGTAACAGATTAGCATTTTTTTCTTTAAAATGGGGTCCACCTTAGAGCAAAATACATGTTTCAAGACAAACTTGCTCACTTAATGCAAAATTAGTACTATAAAGACTGCATTTGAGTGGTCACAATGTATAACAAATGTCTGGACTTCTCACTATAAGTGTGTTCCCATTCCACTTTAAACATGGAAATTGTTTCTGGATTTTACAATATCTGCTTATTGTTAAAATGTTTTAGTTTATTTAACATTTTATAATGTTGGGGGGTGAGAAGTGGTTGAAAGATTAAAGTTTTGCACAGAACTACATGAATGCTTTTCAGTGTGGGATACCTTATGGGTTAAATGTCTGCAGTTCTTCTCTTTGTTCTCATTGAATAAATTGCTCTTGTCTTTATTAAAAGATGGCATTGGAAAGTGGCTCGGAGATGCTGGGGTTGGATAGGGATGGCAATGTTTTGAAAATAAAACTGTCCAACATTTTGACTAAAATTATTTTTAAATGACTTTAAATTGTATTGCAAATAGCTAAGTGGATCTATCAGTTTGCCTGAATGCAGTAAAATTACCTTAACTTTTCTGCACGTTTCTGTTGTACTGAAATAGCTTTGGAAAGGGCTTAAAATATTGTGAAGAGGCTGGGAAACTTTTTAAACCTTTTCCCTCCTTTTGGTGAGCAGTGCATTTTAAGATCATCTCCTTAGGGGTAAAAAAGAAGTATAGCTATTGCATGCAAAACATGTCCTCAGGATGAGTACGTTAGTGTGTTGCAATGTCGATCTAAAACGGTTTTTGAGCTTCAAAGGCGTTTGCCCTCTTTGGTCTCTAGAAGTGAAAACGAAATGTCAGAAAACTTGGCTGCTGCGCCATTCCCTATTTGCCTTTCTCGGCAGCTAGGACAGTTGTGTGCAGGAGTGAGAAGGCTGGCCCAGTCCTGCAACCTGGTTTGACTTGCAGGCGTTGTTTTGCTTTCCTCCTAGCTCCTTTGGTTTGATTTGGGGCTGTTTTCATGAGGACGAGCAGGCATTTTAAGCGCATCGCGGTTGCAATTTGGGAGTGGCGAGGAGGGGTATGCGGGGTCCTAGGGGAGAGGCCGTCAGTGCGATCAATATTACATTAGTCTAGTGCATTCGGTGGGGGGTGGGGTGGGGAGGCGTTTAAAAAAAAAGCCAAGACGCTTGGATCTGAAAATTCAATGTAACGTGTTTTTTAAAGAGTCGCAGTTACCATTCAGCTTTCTGCTGAGCATTAACCCCCCGCGTGATCATGGGTTGATCCTAATGACTGGCCAACACTTCCCTTCAAACCCTACCCTGGCATTTGCTTGGAAGGCCTGTTTAATTAATGAGCCTCCCTCTGCTTCATACCGTGAACTTCCCTGTATATTTATCTAAACTGCCGCAAAGAAAACATTGTGACAAGTTTGGGAAGCCAGGTCTGAGCTGGAGATAGCATCAGGGCTGATAAGATCAGAGTTGATATGGTTACTCCGGGACTGTTTTTACAAGGAAACAGTAGTCCGACAAGCTGCGATTTAAAACCCGTCCTGTCAGGTGAGCCAGGTCCGGGGCTCTTTGGTGGCTTGCACAGAAATTGCTCCTATCCCAGAAGTGAAATGAGCCGGAGGGGACCTGGACTGTAGGGCTGTCCCCCAACTTCCAGCTGGCGGAGGATCGGGGATGTTGCACAGGCAAAATGTGCCCTTCCCTGAGCCTCCCACTGAAGAAGGGTGCTCGTGCACGAAAGCTTGCAAAGAACTCCCCCTTGCCCCCCTCAACTAATAAAAGAAACCACATCTCCACAAAGATCCTTCCCTGCCTTTCCCTGGGATCGCCTTCCCTGTCCCGGCACAGAGACGTGCTGTCGGAGCGGGTCCTAGTTTCGGTGTTACAGATGGGGGATTTCGCTTTAATTTGAGCTCCTTGGTTCAAGAGCCTTCCCAACCCGACGTCTAATGGCCATTTCTTTTCCGGATCCTCTACAAAGAAGCGGAAGTAATTCTTTGGAGCAAGAAGTTACATGTTACCTCTGCCCCGCAAGGCCGGGGAAACTTCGCTGAAATGCTCCAAACAAGCTTCGGAAAGATTTCGAGCCGATCAAGCGCAAAATTAAAGCCCTTGACGGCGGCATCTCCTCTAGTCTAGGGCAGTTGGAGACGCCTGAAGCTCCCTTGGAAAACTGAACACAAGAGCCTAAAATAGGGGCTTTCGTTGGAAAACTTTCATCAACTTCAACAGATTATGAATGGCTGGTTTCTTGAAAGAGAAAACTGCCCTTTTCCCGTGCCCCCCCCCCCCC